TGTATAACACTTCGTCTCGGAAAGGTTTGGATGGTTTATGCATCTTTCCATCAAGTTCGAAGTGCCTAACTTGTTTCAAAAACCTGGTGTTTAAAGTTTTCTTACTCTCTTATAAGTAATTCTTAAGATTTCTTATCATGTACATAATGTCAAATATTAATAATCCGCTTAAGATACAATTCTAATAAGCAGATTATTTACAGAGTCAATGGAAATTACAGAGTCCATATAAGGCATCTACATTCTAACCTTACAAGTGTGTCCTTTGTAGTCTTGCAACAATTCACCTGTACACCTGGCATGTGAAAGACCCAAGATAAGGGTTAGCAAAAGCCAAAAAAATAACCTGCAGCAAGAATCCACACAAGTACATGACAATACCGATCCAAAGGCGTAGAGTAGAATATAAGCAACTAGCCAATATATAGTTGCCATCATTTGACATTCACATACAATTGACAAGTTGCCTTAAGCCATCAAATGTTTCTCTATACATACAAAGAAGAAAACATCATTATCGAAAGTTTCCAAAATGATTGCAGTCATAATATAGATATTTATTTACATTATAGGGAAAAAAAGTACCAATTATCTTTTGGCTACATACCTACCCATACAAATGTCAAAGGTTCAAACAGTTCCATCAACACCCCCACCAATAATTTTCATCTTTGTCAAACATACAGACATCATAGTGTCCAAAAATGTATCGATTATTTGTATACTATCAAGAACTTTAGACACGGTACATTGGTAGTTTAGACTAAAATGAATCCATTTAACATGATAAAATTTCTGAAATGATAAAGGGTTAAACCTAGATAGGCTCAATGTTATGAGACCTGCACTCCCAAGCATGTAATGAACGATCATAGCCAGTAGATACAACCACAGAAGCATACTCATTAAACTTAACAGCATTAACCTAAAAAGGGTAATAGTATCAAGCAAAAGAACAACTACAAAATTTAAATCTCACCAAATTAACACATCAATTCACAACTCCAAAACCTAAATTCAAGTTACTAAGAAACAAACCTCACCATCATGGCCATGGAACTTGCGGATAACACGACCAGTTGCTATGTCCAATATCATTTGCAAAACCAGGATCCTAAAATTTTTTTTCCATCTTAACTGTCTAACCATGCCTACATGTTCGTCTTTGTTGTCATAACCATTTATGACTAATTCAACCTTGCTTTTAGGACTCTGTTATCCCCACTAGGATACCAAGAGATGCAAATGACATTTAGTTGATTTCAGTAAGAATATACTACATAAATCTTTTGGGCCTAAATTGATGTACAATAACTCTTAATTCTAGCCATGTTAATCCCAAACACTTACTGATCATAAAAACTATTGTAATTAACATGAATTAACCTCTTGCTAGATAATAGCTCACTTTTTCTCCATTCAACCTGCTGTTGCCTCCTTTCTCTGTCCAACAAAGTCACCACATTGCACCTGCCTTCCTCCCTCTTTCTTCTTTCTAGCTCCCTTTGCCCAAAATCTATTATAATCATAGTAGAACAGTTTTCAATTTCCATCTGACTTTACTTTAACTATATGATAACGGACCAAAGTAAAAAAAGAAAAAAAGTACCATCATTTGAACACAACCACCTTTCTGCGTCTCAATCGAGGGTCCTCCCGATCATGGCCACAGCGATTGGATTCCATCCACACAAATTCCAAACATAATTTTTCGGGTCTCCTTCACAGGTGCAACTTCTTGCTCTCTGTTCTAAGTTTCAAAACAACTTGAATCTTCTCCCCCGATTTCCTTCGCGAACCAAACTGAATCTTCTCCACTGATTTCCTTTATGATCACCATGACAACTACATCTCTATAGGAGTCATAGATGAGTAACCCTGGGTCAAGATGGGAGTGCTAGATCTCAAGGAGTATCTATGTAGTTTCCAATGGGTGATTTCGAATAAGTTGGGAATAAGCCTATAGGAAGATTATCTTATCTTACTATTTGAACCAACCGTGTGTGTAAAGATGGGTGTCGAGTCGGAATGTGTGCATATCACGGTCCAATATTGAAATTATGAAGGTTTCCTTTTTAATGGAAATGAGATACGGATGAATTATCTTTATAATTTATTTTTATAATTTTTATACATTAATATTAAATAAATGAATGCATATAATATTATACAATTAAAAAAAACTAATTATTAAATAACAAGTAAGATTATAGAAAAATGTTGATATAAAAATTATCGCTAAATTATTTTTTCTTTAATTACTTCTTTAAAATTAATTCACTAATCTTGACATAGATGGAGATATATTTGTCTTTATAACGATATACAAGAGAATAGTATCACTAGAAAATTAAATTAATGCTTGACACTAACGTTTTCTTTTTATGGGTACAAGTTTTAACTTCCAATTATATCACACTCCAATAAGTACACATGCATGATAACAATTTTTTTTTTTTTTTGATAAAAAACAATTGATTAACATTTAACACATCACACTATAATTTAAATTTAAATAAAATTACAAGCAATAATAAGGAAGCATAATAAAATAGGACAATAACTTATTATAAAGGAAATGGGACTCAAGGACAAGATTTCCATCTTAATATAGCCACATAAAGACGTCATTAGGCCACTACAACAATGAGATAGATGTCAGTCATGTCACTCAAATACTCTCATCAGAGCCACTACGACAAGACACGGTTAAACATGATGGCAATCAGGGAGAAGTCTCTGCATCTGTTAGCAGTGCAGAAACTCCCATGTCAACTTCAAATGGCAGTCTTCTAAATAAGAATGCTACAGATGTCCTTGAAGATCACCCTGCTTCACAGTTACCTGCCAAAGAAATTGATGTTGTCAGTGAAGATCATCTAAATGATTCTGGCCAAAATATCAAATTTGACAACGCAGATGTATCTTCAAAGATTGTCCAAGAGAGATCAGAATCTGCAACTATTGATTCTCCTGTTAAGTGTGAAGCTGAGATAAGGGATGCAGGTGTTAAAGTTGAATCTCAAGTCAGTCAAAAGAATGAGGATAAAGTCAACACTCAGCCAGTTAGAGTACAGGACCAACTTGATGAGGTAAAATATCCACTCAAGCTGAAAATATATTTGAAATGTACCTGCCTTTTGGAGTTTTGTTAACTGGGTTCTTTATCTGTTGTCCAGGCTCAAGGACTGCTTAAAACCACGAATTCCACTGGTCAGTCAAAGGAGGCAAGGCTAGCTCGAGTAAGTTCTCAAAATTGATTTATGTTCTTGAGTTCTACTAGGAAGAGAGGAATATGGAGAATAAGCTGCATGCCATGAAATCAAACTTCATCATTCATATGGACTGTTCTTAGAAACTGAATAGCTTAGTACCTGACTTCAAGGTATATATTGGTAAGATAATACTAAATGATACAATGTCCCAAATACTAATTATGTTTTTAGTTAGAATATGATCCATCCTAGTTACTAGATAAATTGTACTTTTTCCGTTGCTCATTTTTCAACTTTTTTATTTTTTATTTTTTGGATCACTAATTACAAATAGGTCCATCTTACGGATAAGCTTGACTGAAATATTGGGCTTCCTCCCAAATCTCCCTTTTATTATCTCCTCCCC